AATGCTTGTAAAACAATCAATAGCATTATAGCAACATTAATTTTGTCGAATTTTGTAAGTTTTCTGTAAATCTACATTTATTTTGAAGTAAAAATTTGGGGTTTTTTAATTCAACATTTCCAGGTGTCAGATACTACTATTTCAACCCCACTGTGAAAAATGACTCATTCTGGCTAGCTATTCTAATTTTCCTATTAGGAGAGATTACCAAATGATATCAAATTCAGAATCCCAAAACCCAACTCTAGGAGTACATGCTGAATTGCAACAGACGTAACAAGAAACTGAGTCAATGAATGAAAAATACACTTGCTAAAAACCACATGGCACACTGTTAACAAAGAGACATGCCAAAAAAAAATAAAATAAAATAAGAAGAAGACATGAACATTGTGATCATAAAGCAATGGCCCACAACACAAATAAAACAGCTTGAAACATAATACATCAAGATCTGGACAAAACCAACTGCATCAACATGTGTTAAGTTCAAGACCTGATGTAATTTCTGTGGTGTTCAACTTTGATCAATCTGGTGGGAAAAGTTTATTAGTAGGTGAAGGCTGGATTGGGTCTGATGCATTAGTTGTAGTAGTGCTGGTACCTACCCAGACTTCAAGTCAGTTATCCTCAAACAGTTCGTAGCATCCAGTCCCACTTTTCCATTGCGGACCACACTAGATATGAATGGGGACAGCATTGGAGAAATCCGGTTCAAGGCCACTTCTGGGGACATTTTGGCTTGACTTGCAAATCACACTGAAAGGAGAAGGAAGGGATGGTGGTCAGAGTATTCAGAGGAACTAGACAGAACGGGTTTCCTGAAAACTGGCACAGCAACATGGAAATTTCTCTTGCATGAATAAATACTTCACTTCCTGTCTTATAGCGGCCTCTTCCAATGACCCCTTCAGAAGAAACCAACCCCCTGTTGCTCACCTCCTCAGATGAGAGACAGCACCAATGCTTTTCAGGCCAGAAGCAGCCCTTCAATCCAATTCCCTCCTCCTTTCCAAAGCTGACTGCTACACTGCCCCACGCAACCTAAATCTACCCCGCTCTATCTTACAACTGACAGTTTCCTACTTTGAGACCTTAAGAAGCCTTCACTAACAATCCTCTCCCCCAACACACAAAATGTACACTCCATTAAGTTCGGAACCGCTCCCTTGGTGTCCCCACAAGAAGGACTTGATTGGTAATACTATATGAAATTCAAGAATAAGCATAACCTACTTATAATTGTTACTTACGAGAAATTATTTACTTCTGATATACTGTCCCTCCACAGTGTGTTATAACTATCTGCTTTGTGATCTCTCCCCTGCCGGGACTATGTCTTGAATCCCTAGTGTTTAACAAAAGTACCTGGTACATGCTAAGCATCCAGTAAAAATCTTTAAATAAACAAATGAATAAAGAGACCAAAAAAACTAGAGAAATATTAAGGTATGGAGAGAAGACAATATCCCCTCAAAAAAATCTGGTCGAGGAGAATGTATCTGAGGAACATATGTAGCAAAAAGCTATTTTATGGGGCACCTGGGTGGCTCAGTGGATTGAAGCCTCTGCCTTCGGCTCAGGTCATGATCTCAGAGTACTGGGATCGAGCCCCACATCGGGCTCTCTGCTCAGCGGGGAGCCTGCTTCCCCCTCTCTCTCTCTGCCTGCCTCTCTGCCTACTTGTGATCTCTGTCAAATAAATAAATAAAATATTTTTTTTAAAAAAGCTATTTAACAATTAAATCATGAAAACATCCACTTATCCGGATATTAACCAACACAAACAAACATGTATCTAAAAGTCTTAGCCTTTCAGGCACTAAGAAGTTCTTGCACTTGAAAATACAGAAGTAAAACCAACAAAGCGTGTCTAAATTATCTGGAAACCCAGGGGCTAGGGGAAGGAACGCATGAATTCCTCTAAACAGATTTCTAAATGAAAACCTCTAGTTTCAGAGGTGAGTAAGTCCATTTAAATAGTCACTTTCTTCCTCAATCTGAAAGGATAATCCCACATCAAAAGCAAATTAATTTCCTCTAAGTTACAACTATAAGGAAATGATGTCCTAGTCCTAGTTTTCATATACTTTACCATATGGAGACTTAGAGGTCTCTGCCAAAAGAAATGTTGAAAACCAGTACCTGTTTTAATCACTTTGGATAGTAATAAAGGGAAGGACTGCAATGATCTTTCAAAAAATAATTTAGCGGGGCGCCTGGGTGGCTCAGTGGGTTAAAGCCTCTGCCTTCGGCTCAGGTCATGATCCCAGGGTGCTGGGATCGAGCCCCACATCGGGCTCTCTGCTCAGCAGGGAGCCTGCTTCCTCCTCTCGCTCTCTCTGCCTGCCTCTCTGCCTTCTTGTGATCTCTATCTATCAAATAAATAAATAAATAAAATCTTAAAAAAAATAAAATAAAATAAAATAAAATAATAATAATTTAGCTACCTTATATGGTGATGACACCCAGAAGTACCTTTGAGGCTGTATACTTCAGTACTCAAATCATCCTTTCTGCAAATATAAAACAAGCTCCTCTTCCATCCACTTAACAGATTACTTCTCCCCACCATTCCAAAGTCACTACAAAGTTAGAATAAACATCTAATATCCTGTATTGTCAATCATAAAAACCACGCTGTACATTTTTGTAACACTACCACTTATAAAGAGCTTCCAAAAACATTATCACAGTTGATCTTCACAATCCTGGGCAGTAGGCAGATTTTAGAATTCCCACTCTATGGGATATAAGGATAATTTCTGTAATTTGTCTTTGAACAGCATACTAACCCATATTAGCATTTTGAAGCATTTTTTTCTTATTCTGTGACATTTCCGTTCTTATTTCTATCCACTGATGTCACAGTTCTTGAAAGGATGCTTATCTAGATCATATGCAAAACACAGAAATACTCATCTGGAAAAAAAGCAAAGGATCTCACCTACATTACAAAATTATTCTTCCATGCTTTTCCCCAGAATACCTATCATTATTTTACCTCTCATTTCTATGAAAAACGGAAAAAGAATTAACACATTCTTAAAAATCTACTGAGTATCAGGCACTCTATCACCCACCTCTACCTGTAATTTCATTTACTTCACCCCAACAACCCTGTTCTCTATTACTGTTCCCATTTCACAGATAGGAAAACTAAAGCGCAGCAGAACTAAGTAACTTGTTCAAAGTCACACACGTAGCAAGAATAAAGACCAGCATTCAAATCCAGATCTCCCTCAAAGTCCACTACACCCATCCTCCTCTCACATAAGCATGTATAATTGCAATTACCAAAGAGAAAGGCCTCAAAGTCACCTGTTTAAAGTGTACAACTCATAAAACTGGAACAGAAAAAAAATTACAAATTTGAACAAATGGTTGCCTGACCACCAGAAACACGTTTGACTACAGCTGGTCTGTTGCCAAAGCTGGCCTGAGTGACCCGCCAGTCAAATGCCACAGGGAAGAAACCTGCACCAAAAGCCAAACTATACTTAAGGTGACAACAGCCCATTCCAATTCAGCAACTGTCAGGACCTTTGACTAACACCTGAAGGAATGAATTTCTTTGTGTTAGAACAGCTACAGTACTATTTTTTGACAGTGCAAGACTTCCTGCAGCATTAAAATGTTTCAACCGTAAGTGTAGTGACTTCTCTAAGACAGAGGAGAAATAAATACTCCAAAACCAGAGGTCACCAAACAGCCAAAGATGATGGCTCTTTGGTGTGATCCTTTTGAGCCAGGGACATGGACGGGGGAACACCTACAGTGGTGGCTTTCACACATCACAGTTCCATGATAGATCCCAGCTAGGCACAAATTTACAGTGGCCCGCCTCCCCTGAGTGCTAGCTGTGCGATTTCTATTTCTTGATTTTGACGTATTACAAAAGAAAAATGCAGAAATACAATTTTTACAGGGCCTGCTGCTCGAAACAGGGTCACATGAGGTCCTCGAAGGGGCAGCCTGGGGACTACAAAGACGTCTAAGGCATCGTCCAGTATCTCGCAATTAAGATGAGATGACAAACACGGAAACGTGTGCCCTGCTGACGTCATGGAACGGAAAGGGGTGGCGTCCTGCTGCGTCACCTCAACGTCATAAAGCGCACGAGGGAAGTAAGTGGGGAAGCAATTTCTCCAGGGGCAACATTCAAGAAAAACAAGTCGGCTCGGACCCAAAAAATGACCACCCCACTCTAGGGGCCATCTAAAAAGGGATACTCTCCCTTTTCCCAAACTGTATGGTCCCCTCTTCAGGCGGGCAGAAGAAAGGAGTCTGCGGTTATTGAGGGAGCAGGGGGCGGGCTAGATATGCAAAAACAGCGGCCTCTGGCCTTGGTGGGGGGTCTCGTTCTTGCGGGGACCAGCATGATGGGGATGAGCAGGGCATCTTCGGAACGGGGGCCTTCTCTATAGGAAGAGGCGGCGAGCCCTGGGCATACTTAAACCACGATCCTGTGCACAGGCCACCTGTGCGACTCGGGATCCAACCTCCCCGCACCAGCCCCAGTCCAGGTACCTGGAACTTAGTCCGATCGGTAACCGGCGACTACGTGGGGTACAGGTTACCCGAGCGCGCCCCCGACCGACGCACCGACCTGCGCGCGCACCGCGAGCCGGATGCGTGCGCGCCCCCGGACGTCCCGCCCCGCCCCCTCTGCGGCCCTGGAACCGGGCGGCGTGCGCGCCCCCGGACGCGCCAAGCCGGGCACTCGGAAGGGCGTCCCCGCCGTGCCTGAAAGGTCCTTCCTCTGCGCCCGCCTCGTGGGTGGCGAGCGGCGTGGAGTCTGGAACTCTCAGGAGGGCTCTGTAACGAGAGGGGGTGCAGGGAGACCGTCCCGGGAAGAACAGAGGGCGGCTGGGGGGAGGGGTTATTTCGGGCAGTCAGGTGGGCGACCCGCAGAGGCGTGTGGAAGGCCCGCGTCGTTAGGGAGCGTAGGAGCGGCGTTCCTGGTTACGGGGTCGGGCAAAGGGCAAAGGTCAGCCTCCGGGGTGGAGAGCACCTCTTTTGGGCCATGGCCGCATCTGGGGAACCCGGCCGGCAGTGGCAGGAGGAGGTGGCCGCGGTGGTAGTGGTGGGCTCCTGCATGACCGACCTGGTCAGGTTAGTCCGGCTCAGTACGCAGAGCTTGTGGTGGAGGGAGGGAGCGGACTGTGCTTGGCACCAGAGCTTCGGCGACGGAGAGTGCCCGCTTGGGGTGAGCTGCCGAACTGTCAAGTTCGGGAACGTAAGCGGCCGGGGTGTAGTGGAAGCTCTTCCTGTTACTGGAAGCGCCCGCGAAGACCTGCTCGGGTTTTTCGACCCGTCGGCCGAGCTTGTCCCCTGACTAGCCTGAGGAACCTTGGTCAAGTCGTTTTATCTCTGAGAACGTGCCCACCTCCCGGCGTTGTTGTGAGGACTAAATGAAGGAAAGTGTTTTGTGAACGGTGACATGAACCAGGTTGGGTATTAGTCGTCTGAACTTGAATGAGTGGAACAGAGGTCAAAAAGTCCAAAAGACAATCGATCTTTTCGTGGCGTCACCTTTCACCGTATTAGCTGTTGGCATTCCTTGCTTTTCGGTATTATGTGGATCAGTATATGGGTTATCTTATGGCAACCCGAGTGTGAATCAAAAACCCATAAACACGAAGTTTACAACATTAAAAAAAGTGATAAAATAATGAAAATATGCTAACTGAAAATACATTGGTTGGAGAGATCCCTAATTTTTCCCTTTTTTTTTTTTTTTTAACGAAAATGGCGGAGTGCCTAGCAGGCTGGGTACTGGAGCACGCAACTCTTGATCTTGGAATTATGAGTTCAAGCCCCACCTTGGGTTTAGAGCCTGCTGAAAAAGAGAGAGAGAAAGAGAAGGAAAAGAAGGAAAGGAAAAAGGAAAGAAAATGGCTTTCCTGACTATAACAATAATATATGTTTATTATAAAAATCAGATATTCCAAGAAAATTCTACCATTCAGATTGCTTCTGTTTAATATTTTTGTGACTGGTTTTTCAGATATGCTATTTTTACGTTATAAAAATTTAAAATGATCAGGGATACTACAGTAAGACCTCATCTGTCCTGCAACGTTGCTTTTTCAAAGGATAGCAGAGAGCCTGAAAACAGGTAAAAAGGCCTTGAGAAAATCAAGTCACCAGATCTCTGCCCCACCTATGTTTTAGAAAATAGTTCCAGGGTATGTATGTAACCAATTTAGTCCTTTGTTGCTTAAATTATTTATAAGCTAGGTTATCAAATTTCCAGACAAAGAGTAGAAAGGGGGAGAGACTGCTAGTGATTGCCAAAAACATACTTCTATAGGTGCAGTGGCAAAAGAGTCAGAAAACTAAACAATTTTCCCGTGCACCCTACCTGGATAAGTGTCAGGTTTAAAATTCAGAGCCACTTTCTTCTTAAACTAAGTCTGAGATTTCTGTGAAGCTTGACCATCAAACGTTAAGGATAACAATACTTCATAAAATGAATATTCTTCGTAGTTGGGGGAGGGTGGAGTGTCAAGGGCTCGTGTAGCATCTGTCGGGATTTTAAAATCTTATTTAAGAGCTAGAAGAATTTGGGGTGCCTGGATGCCTCCATCAGTTAAGCATCTGACTCTTAATTTCAGGTCAGGTCATGATCTCAGGATTGTGGGATTGAGCCCCAGCGTGGAGCCTGCTTAAGATTCTCTCTCTCTCTTTCCCTCCCTCACTTCCTCCCTCTCTGTCTTAAGAAATAAAACCAACAAAAAAAAATCTAGAGGAATTTAGAGAGTATTTATTCCACCTCTTCAGTTCATAAAGGAGTAAACTGAGGTACAGAGAAATAAAAAAAACTCTTACATTGTATATAACCTTTCTAATTTCTCTTCTCTCGCCGTTTTCTTTCCTTTTTAAAATAACCAGGTGTCTACTTCTCATGAATCACTAGTAAAAGTTTTACTCCCTTAGAGACGGTCTCATAGCTTTTCTGCAAACTACTTATGGTTGCTGATTACTCCTGTCTCTGAAGATCTTTACAAAATACCTGTTTTTATTTAAAATCCTTCATTGTGATAAACTTGGGTCCAACGTTGCTAGTTAGGGTATATGTCATGATCCCATTAGTTTCCTCTTGCTGCCATAACAAATTGACACAAACTTAGTGGCTCAAATAATACAAATTTAATACAGTTCTGGAGGTTAGAAGTCTGACACAGATCTCACTGAGCTAAAATCAAGACTTCTGTAGGCTGCGTTCCTCCTGGCAGCTCTAAGGGAAATCTGTTTTCTTGCCTTTTCCAGTTTCTAGAGGCTGCACACATTCCTTGGCTTATGGCCCTTTCCTCCATCTTCAAAGCCAGCAGTGGTCAGTCAAGTCCTTCTCACATGGCATCATTCTGATGCTCACTTTTTGCCTTCCTCTTCCACATTATAAGAACCCTTGTGATTATGTTGGGCCCAAATGGATAATTCGGGATAATATCCTTATTTTAAGTTAGCTTATTAGCAACCTTAATTTCCCTTGCCATGTAACGTAACATTCACAAGTTCTGGGGGTTAGGAATGTAGACATCCATGGGGGAGGGTTGGGGAGGAGTGGGGGGACATTATTCTACTTACCACAATGACGAAGCTTAAAGTTAAAAAATCTTACAATACTTAGAGCTTGGGGGATCACTGAAGCCCCTCAGTCCATTCTCCACATTTTACAGGTGAGGTAACTAATAGACTTGTTAGATGCCTTGCACCCCCCCACGCCGCCGCCAAATCACACAGCCAGTTAGTGGCACAGAGAAAGTTGGAAACCCATGTTTCCCAAGCTTTATCTTTCCATTATATCATCCTGCCTCTACCTCTACTTCTGGCTGGTATTTTTGCCCTTTTCATCTGCAGTTCATTTGAAAACTTGCAGTATGTGCATTGTTTACTTTATAAGCTGATAAAGAAAACTAAGGATTTATAATCAAGTCTAGAGATGGTATCTCTGTGACTGTCCCTTTATTTCTTGGTTTCACTGGACACAGCCTGGACACCCTTGCCCATACCGCAGACTCACTTCAGAAACAAAACTACTTCAGTAACCAAGCCCTCTTGGACAGCACCCAATCCAGTTCACTTTATATATTACATTACTGTGTGCCAGACACTGCTAATTCAATCAATGAGCAACTTTTTTTTCATGTCTGATTTCAGTTTGCTATGAATAGTAAGCTCTGTGTACTAATAATTTTAAAATATCATTAGCTTGTCCAACATGGCAAACCATGAACATTGTTTAATACCCACCTATGTTTACCGTCATTCTCTTCCTGAACACCCATCTCTGAAGTTCCACAGTGCATAGATAAGAGAAGTCAAGCTTGTGGAAAATTAAGTTAGACTTCCTCCAAAGACAGGATTCCATGAAAACCCAACAAGAAGTGAACTTCTTTAGAGATTAAGTCCACAGATCTTTGCCAGTCATGCTTCCACTGATCATCTTTATTTCTTCGGACATATATCATCCATCTCATATTCATTCAACAAATATTTAGTGACTTTTTACATATGCCAGGGACTTCCCTAAGTGCAGAGGATGCAACAGTGAAAAACACAGCCAGGAGACCCTGCCTCGTGGGGCTCACATTCTAATGGAAGAGACTGTATCAGTAGAAATAAGTAAAACGCATAGTGTGTTAGATAAATGCTAAGGAGGAAAGTAAGGTATGAAAGGGAGATGGGAGTAGTAGTTTCAGGTCCTTGCCCATAGAAAGCCTCACTGAGAAGGTGATTTTGAGTAAAAATGTGAAGGAGGAAAGGAAGCAAGCCATACAGATAACCAGCGTTAAGAGCATAAGGGCCTGAGGCGGAAGCATGTCTCTTATGATCAGTGAACAACAAGGAGTCCAGTGTGGCTGAACAAGAAAGGGAGGGAGGAGGGCAATTAATGATTAAAGGATTTGGGGTCATACCTTGAATAAGATGAAAAGCCATTGGAGGGTTTGAGCAGAGGGCTGACCTAATCTGATTTACATATTAATATCATCACTGTGGAAGCTGTGTGAGAACAGACTGAAGGCAGGCAAGGGCAAAAGGGGGAGACCAGTTCAGAGTCTTTACAATAATCCAGGCAAGAAATGACAGTAGCCTGAAAGCAGTCCATGAAGATGAAGCGAGCATCTTTTTTATTATATATTTGAAGGCAGAGCAGACAGGATTCGTTGAGGATTACAGACGGGTCAAGGATCACTCCCAAGTTCTGTGGCCTCTGCATGTGGAAGGGGAAGCTAACCTTTGCCAAGAAACAAGATTGGGAACACAGCAAACTGGCTGGGGAGAGGGCAGTATCAGGAGCTCAGGATGGACATGTGAGATCCCAGTTGCCTGTTAGATCCAACTGAGGCCGTTAAGAAGACAGATTACAGGAGTTTGGACCAACTGGAGATAGAAATTTGAGTGTCAACAGTGTGTCAAGGATATTTGAGGCCTTGAGGCAGGATGAGATCACTGAAGGTCTGAACTCCTAGAGCAATCCAACATCTATGGCATACGTTTTTTACATAATTTATCTCCCATCGCCCAGTCTCTCTGTACCCCTAAAACTTGCTTTGAGACAAGCTCAATACAAACCCATGTTTACATTTCCATGGCAACAGACTATGATGTCAGCTACAACCCTGTGTTATCCTTTTACATGCTCCAATTAAAAGTGATGGCTTGAGAGATAAGGCTCATGTTCAGCCAAGCATCTAAATTTAATCCTTGGCAAGTCAGGAAATGATTGCTTAATTGTCAAAAGATTTTAATTGGATGGCGGAATAAGTGAATTTAGAAGCTTTTCAATCCAAAGTGGATGAAATGTAGGACCTAGATTACTTTAAAAAAAAAAAAAAAAGCCAAAAATGTACACCACACCTAGAAAAGGTTACCTGTGCCTAACATTACAGTAACCTCTATCCTGCATTCCACCAGAAGCCTCTTGACTTGTCATATTTGGAACAGAAAAAACTCTCTTCGCCATCACATTCTCAGTAAAGTAAAAGCCAGAGGACTGTTGACCTGAGGAATGTCCTGCATTCCCAGTGCCAGAGGAATATCCTTTATTATCCTTTCTGCTCCTTAAATTGGTCTTGAAAGTTGTATATCTGTTACCAACTCTTAAA